AAGAATTAATTTTGAATAATGATATGATGGGAAATGTGTGGTTGAAAAAGAAGAAAAAATTATTGATGTGATGGAAAATATTATTTTATTGAAGAATGTGTGGTTGAAAATGAGAATTGATTTACTATAGAAAAATCTAATCCATCCCAAACAGGGTCTTAATTAGATCTATCAAATGTGACCACATAGACTAGTGCCCATACGCCGCTGGGATGAATATCACTAGTCTTTTATTGCACTAAAGTTTTATGTTGATTGTATCTGATTTCGTACTTAAACGACATCTACGTCTGAGGCCAAATAGATGCCTTTAATGCCACTGTTTGGACGAGGCTTCCAAATTTCATTTATCCAATTAATCAATAACTTTTTAGAGTGTGGAAGATCGAATCATAAATTTTCAACATCTCAATTAGTTGTGCGAGTTACCCTATTTATAGACAATTTTTGGGACCTTTTGGTCATTTTTATAAATTGACATACTATCATTATTATGTTGGAAGTAACGATTAAATTCAATTTTCAAGATTCTCTTCATATAAAATCTGAAATTTTGTTGTAGTGGCTGCTTTGTGGATAATTTTTGTCTAAGTTAGCATTAAGGTGTAATAGTCTATTTTTTCAAAAATCGTAACGGGTTGGGATGTCCCTCCCTATTATTATTATTATAAAGTTGTTTCTTTATAATTAACATCGTTAAGTTGTTGTTTCTTAATGCAACATAAATGTAAACCATCTGGATAAATATTTTTTTGGCCCATAAATTTATGATGAAGTGAAGTAAGATGTTTCTAGTTGATGACTGGATCGATAACGTGCAAGATCACTCGATAATTGAGGAATTGTCACCCAAAGAGTCCCGCATATTCCGTTAGCATGAATCCATCCACCCCCATCGACAAACCACAATCATGTGTGGCTCTTGACGATCGCCATGTACTATCGCTAACTGATTGGAAACATTTACACTTCACATATTATTTCTTCATATGCAATTTATGTTCACACACACACACACACACTAATTTGATGATTGGTGTATAACTAAAATAACCTCATCTTTTTTCAAGTATTGAATCATCATAATCACGACTCCAAAAAAAGTATATATATCCGTCACCATCAAATCATGCATAAAACATCGTTATATAAAAAACATAACACTGAATAAAATTTATTGTATTAGTGCATAGTTTGGAAGTGTTTATGAACACTTTAAATTATAAAATATTTTTAACCCATGTTTGGTACACATTCTTTCAAAATACATTTTTTAAAAACTTTCTTTCAACCAGTCCAGCTCTTAGCCCATTTAATTTTTTTTAGTAGATTTTTTTTTTTTTACGTATTAGTCGGTTCTGTAATCCGATTCTGGATCCGTCCCTGCGTCAAACCATGTTTTCTAGAGATTAAAATCAGATTTTTAGTAGAATTTGATAAAAGTTGATGAAATGTTTGGTTAAAATTATTTTTTGACTTTGATTAAGATTAAAATCTGAATTTTCATTTCTACCAATCACGAACTTAATAGGATTTATAAGTATTATTCACTTTTTTATCTTTAATCTTCATTCAATTCTACACTTCCCAAACACACCCTTTACTTTTAGACACGCGGATCGGAATAGCATTGTAATTTTAAAATAAAATTAAAAAGAAACAGAAGAAAAGCAAAAGCCACCAACTAAAAACCAAAAGCCACCCTCCAAACTTGTTTGGTACGAGTACAATATCATCGTATCGACAGCTCCTACCTAGTACATCAAACACTTTCTTCACTATGGACAAAACCGTTTACATGACACTTCCATTTTCACCTTGACCCATTCTAAGACTTCATCGCCTCGGGGGATCCGACGAAAATCTCGATAGATTTTGTATTTCTGATTCTTGGTGTTTTTTGTTCTAGCTGGCGGATTTTACATCGTCTAATTTTTTGGAGTACAGATTTATTTGATGGTTCTATTACATTATTATATAGATTTTCCTTTGTACATATATGCACTGTGGGTTGATAGTTGTGAATTGTGAAAGGAGATGGTACACACACCGTTTACATGGCGCTATGGAGGTCACCAGGTTTCAATTTGTGGCTCTTTCAATGGGTATTTTCTGTTCCTGTTAACTATTTTCTTGCTACGAGGACTAGATAGTGGGTTTGCAACCCTTGTTTTGCCCGCCCACGGGCCGAGTTCTTATTGAGCTCAGCGATGTTAATTTTATGAAAAGTTACTTATTTTATTAACAAAGCTTACTTTCTAAAAAAAGTAACTTTAATGCATTCATCCAAGTTTCAAAGATCACGTGGCCCAATTAACTAAAAACGGAAAATTTAAAAAAGTTCTGTTAAGCCCGGTGGCCTGGCCGTGCCAGGCATAGATTTCTAGTTTTTGCAGTTCAGTCCCATTATAAGGTACCTTAAACGAGTGGTTTTCGTGTATTGGTTTTTTTCTTTTAGTTATAATGTGACAATAGTGTGCCTCTTGCATTATTGGATACATGATGGTGTTATGAATTATGATATTGGTGCAGTTGGACTGAGAAGATACCAATGATTTTAGTGGAGGATTCGGCTTCTATTTTCCAGAGAATTATTGATCTTCCGCCTGGTTATCATCAGGTATGTAATTATGGCATAGCGTTATGAGAATGCGTCTCCTTGGGCGGCTATATACATTCAATAACTGAGATTTGAAGTAAAAACTTGAATAATCCATCAACAAAAAAATATCGAGATAGTAGCGTGTAGAGATGCATGCCAAAATTAATTGGCATGGCATTATGTGGAAAGCCTAGCCTAGGCTACTAGCTCGACAGTCTATTTTAAGCAATAAGAGATTTATATGAGTGAATGTGTCTAGAAAGCATTTTTGAAGCCCTCAAACAAAAGTTGCAATTTTGGTGCTTGAAATTAAGGTTTTCTTTGTTAATTATATTGTTTTGCACAAAGTGGTAAATTGGCCTTATAATAACTCAAGCTTTAGATAGCCATTTTTATTGTTGAATCTGATCATGTACCACATTTTCAGTTCTTAGTTTTGAAAAATGTGTCTCTCTCTGATTGAATATAGAAGAAATCACCCCTTATTTCTTTGCAATATGTTAATTTCTGGACAACTTTCTGTATTGCAGTACAAATTTTTTGTTGATGGTATGTGGCGAGTGGATGAGCAGCAGATTTGTGCTCAGGATGAGTATGGAACTATCAACAATATAATTTTAGTTAAGGGAGCAGAGAATGTGTCTCCAAATTTAACTGCTGAAGCTTTTCTGCCTCATATAAACTTGGATAATGCTAGGATCATGGAGTTTATGGTCAGTGCTTATCTTACACTGTATGTCGTGCTAATTTAATTTTCATAATTACACCCCCTGTCATGCATGTTAGTTCATCCTGTTATATAGAGTCATGCAATTAAATTTACAATCTATTCTGGTTGTGCCAACAAGGGTTCATCTTCAGGCGCCCCAGTTAATGAGGCAGTTCTGCAATTATCAGATGGTGAGATGGATGTTTCTCGTAATCTTCTATCAATGCATTTGTCATCTTCTAGAGCATATGATTTGATTCCATATTCAGGCAAGGTCTGAATGCCACTTTTTTTTTATTATTATTTATTTTCCTCTTAAACTTTTACATTGATTGTGATCACAATATGCTTCGTATGGCTATTAAGTTTGTGATAGTTTTTCAAAGAGTAGGTCATTGTATTTGATGTTGAAGTGGCTGTGGAACAAGCCTTCCGTGACATGTTTGACCAGGTAAAATTTTCTTAGTTGTTGTTGGTTCTCCCCATCCCCCCCAGAGATGGCTCTACTAGTTTAGTGGCATGTTATAGAATTATAAATATTTTACTACTTTGATTGGTCATATAGTTACTGGAAATGTCATATAAAGAGAATTAAATGTTTTTACTTATCTTTCCGAAAGTTTAAATGAAAGAAACCCACATCTCCCACCAAGTTTGCAAAGATATGGAAAAGTGTGTAATTTGGGGCTAAATATATAGGTCACACATCTTCTGTAGGACACTAATATGAACGTCAATTATGGTCATTTGAAAGACCAAAAGCTGCAGTGCTTTTTCTTTTCATCTGACCATTCATGCATGGGGTAGGAAATGGTAGACAAATATCTGGGTATGATTTCTAGTAACTCAATATTCCTCGTGGAACCTTTTGTCGTATGCCATGGCATAATCAGGATAAGGAAGACCGAGCATATATTAAGGTGTACTCAAAGCTCTCGAAGATTCATTTTGGCTTTATGCTAGGGATATCCACTATGGTAGCCATATACTTTCTTAGGAGATTGATGGAAAAGTATAAATATAAGATAGAAGATATGCATTTGGTAGTTATTTGTTTAGAAAAATCATGACAGGTTGCTCAGGAAAGTGATGGGATTGGTGCTAAAAAGAAAAAAGAATTTCTATGAGGCGTATAAATATATTAGAATATGTATGATGAAGCAATTATGAGCTTAATGTGTAGTAGTAGCAGTTGTAGGGAATTTGTTATTACTATGGGCTTGCATTATCTCTCAGTCGTGATCTATCTTTTAGCTTTAGCCATGAGTGAGCTTACAAGATATATCCAAGATTAGATTTCCTGGTATATATTATTTGCTGATAATATAGTTTTAGCACTAGAGTAGGAGGGGGTTAAATTGTATGTTAGAATTTTAAAATCGCTACTTCAATAATTAACTATTTGGCTCAAATAAATAAAAACATGGAATTTCATATATAGGTGCAATTAACTATTGAGCAAAAGAAATTGACTTACATAATGACTAGACTAGAGTCACTAGACATTGCATTTCTATCAACTGGCAAATAAATTGTATGTGACAGAAGTTGTAAAATTTTGGGGGTTCTAAAATAGAATGTTCTTTACATAAAGAAAGAACAAGGATATAATGGAGCTACTATAAAGGATTTTGTTGTCCTAAATGATAGATCATTTTAGGTATTTAGGTTCGATTTCTAACAAGGAACGATGACTTGGAGATGAGGTAATGTATAAATCTAGAGTGGCTGGATGAAATGGAGAAGTGCTACATAACAATCCTACAAGGTTAAAATGTTATGTGTAGAACAATTCTTAGATTGACTATGCTATGTGGTATTTAGGGTTGGGTTGTCAAATGACAAAATGACGTTAAGATGAATGTAGCACAAATGAAAATTTAGGATTTGTGACTATACAAGACCTGACAAGATAAGATATTCATATTTGAACAAATGGAGTTGATTCAGGTTGAGGATAAACTTGGGAAATGACAACTTAGGTGGCTGAGACGTGAATTGCAAAGATATAAAGAAGCTACTATTCACAAAAGTGATGCAATTTTAGTGGAAAAGGTTAAGGTTAAAAGGGAGAGGTAGATTAAAATTAGTCTTGCGTGTTATTCACAAAGGATCTAACCGTGGATAAACATTAATATCAGTGGGTTGAGGATAAATTTAGGTAAAAGACAACTTAGTTGGTTGGGGAATGTGTTGCGAAGATCTAAAGAAGCTACTATTCATGGAAGTGATGCAATCTCAGTGGAAAAAAGGTTAGAAGAGAGAGGTACATCAAAATTAATTTTTTGTTGTGCATTCTTATCAATAAAACTTGTTTTTTCCTTCGTCCTTCTACTTGCTAATCATATTCAGATTTCATTGCTCTTCAGTAACATCAATATGTACTAAATATTTTGGTTTATTACTTGATTATAGGATTATTGGAATTAAAATATAATTTGTCTATCACTTTTATGTGATTATTTCTATAAGTTATATAAATTTTATATATGCCTCAAATCAGAATCTTCCGTGATTCTCATCACATTAGCATTTCAGACCCACCCAGTGGAATCTTGAATTTGGTTTCCATTGGCTCCTCTACTTTTCCTACGAAACCTATTTATTAAGGCAAGTCACATGTTGCACATTTTCATATCATTTGAGGTAATGCTTTTCAATACTGTGACATGTGATTCTTGAGAAAGTAGTCAATTTGATTAAATTTGTCTACTATCAGACACTTATTAGGTGTATAGCTCAAGGTCGCTGTTTAACTTGTGAAATTCAGCGATGGTTTCCAGTCTTGTCTCATGAAAATTGGTAGTGTAGTTGATACCCAGGTTCCTATATCTTTTAGTGTGTCAAACTGTAAAGTCAAGTGGAAGATGCTACTCTAGCAAACAGTCAAATACATCAGGAATTGTCACCTGATATAGCATTGTTGTCACTAGAAAGAATTGGGAAAAATTAGATACCGTGTTATATAATAACTTTACGTGCTTACTATGTTCTTCCTATTGTTTGTATAAGAAATCATCTAAATGACAAGTTTATGCATAAATTAATTTGTATATGTAGGCCTTAAGTCTCATTAATATTTTTTCTAACATCTGTTACCCTTTTACTGGTCACAAGTTTCTAGACTAAATTGCTTATCATTATTATCATTAGGGGCTTGCAGTCGTGCCGTTATGGGATGAGCATCATGGACAGATTGCAGGAATGCTAACTGCATCAGATTTCATGTTGATTTTACTCGAGGTAATTTATGTTTCAAGAACTGCTACGAATGAATTGCCATCGGACTTTAACTTGGTGAAGTCAGATAGTAAAATGATTCACAGTTGTATTGAAACCAAGAAACAGTGTTTGTGATGTAAATATTCACAAGTGTGTCCATTTCATCATTCTTTTTTCGTATGAAAGAAGTTTGACTCCAAATATTAAGAGCAACATGCGAATTCTTTCGAGTAGCAGTCCTATACTCTAACACAATCTTGCTTTTCCCTTCCTCTCGTCTCCTGTACAGTCACAAACTTATGCTCACATGGAGTTTTGTTTCACTAGAACTGCTCGAGATTTTTATGTTGAACTATTGGTGGATGCCACATACTCCCATTCTCTTTGGAGAACTCACATATAGATGCTTATTTCCATACTAGGAATTTAAGTTGAGCATTCCCGGCCCACCAAGCAAAACAGGTTACTGGCTAGTAAATCAGCCCAATAAAAAAGAAAAAAAAAAAAAAAACCTTCAATCAGTTTTACAACTTATTGTGCTATTAATATTGGTAATTCAGTTAGTTTTAAGTTTAACATATCAATGATGCCAAGTGACGGTTTCTAGCCATTTGCATGCTGGAGATGACACCCCCTTTTTCTGCAGCTTCACAGAAATCGTGCCATGTTCACCAATGAAGATCTTGATATGCACACGATTTCTGCCTGGAAACACCGAAAATTTCATCACCCTAGAGATATGATCAGGTCTTCTGTTCCACTTCAGCAAAGGTCGTTAATCCAAGTAAGTGCTCTTATTGACGTGAATTTATAGGACTGCTTGGCTCCTTGGTGTTTGTCTGTGAAGATGAAATTGCTCTCTCTATTCATCTATTCATAATTCCCCCACCTGGGAAAAGCAACAGATACAAACACTGTGTAAAAAAAAAAGGACTCATATATATGATGCTTGTGTGTGTTGTACCTGTCAACACGTTGTTAACTTTGGGAATCTCATTGTTGAAAAGTTTCCCCCTATTACTCTTGCAACCTACAGGCAGGTCCTGATGAATCTTTGGGAGGCTTGGCTTCAAGAATTCTACATAATAAGATTTCTGCAGTTCCCATCGTACATTCAGCAAAAGATGGATCTTGTCCTCAGTTGTTACACGTAGCTTGCCTCTCTGAAATACTAAAACGTTGTGAACTTATTCAACTATCAGTTTCTCCTAGAACTTTACATGTTATTACCTGCTTACGCTGTTTTTTTTTCTTTTTCCTCTTTTTTTTTTTGCCGTATACATCTCAGACGTATGCAGGCATTTTAAACACCATATTGGATATCTGCCGCTTCTACAGCAACCAATTGGTTACCTTCCATTAGGTACCTGGGCTAGAGAAGTTGGAAGAGCAAGTGATCGTCCGTTGTTGACATTACGAACCAATGATTCTCTTGATTCTGCTCTTAATTTATTGCTTGAAGGTGTGTAATGACTTCCTTCATGTGTCTGCAATTGCTGCATGCATGAAATGATCTGAAAATCCAGATGACTGAAACCATGCTTAAACTGAATTGACACTATCACCTTTTCACACGATTCTTCTTTCTCTCGAGATGTCAGTACTGGACACCATATTTCTAGTCAAATATGAAGTTTCTCTAGCTTTTGGAAGACAGTATTTAAACACAAACATTGGTTGTTTTAAGTACCTTCCTGAAATTTCTGAGAATTCTGCTGATTAAGCAAAACATCTAGAATCGAAGGGTACTGACTATTCTGATTATTAGCTCGATATAATACCTTGGTGTTGAAATATTTATTTTAAGCCTATTTGCTGTAATGCTTTTGAATTGGTCAACCCTGGACATCAGTTGGAGCACTTTGAGTGCTAAATGACTATGCAGAATATGTGCTGACATGCCAAGCAAAGTCACTTCTGAGGTTTGAGATAGGATTGGCAGCGGAGTAAATAAAACTTTTGTGACATGTCCTTGAAAAATATTCTGTGTTGATATGATATATTTGTTATGGATCTCCAGAACTCCTGCCTATTATTGTGTTCCTTTCTTCCCTGCCATGATAATTAGCCAGCATATTGTCAGTCTCAAGTACCAAGTCCTTTAATCTCTCACCCCTTTCAATATCTAAGCTAGCCTCTTGAGTGAAGTGGAAGAACTCTACCTAGGGCTCAAATTTAAGTGTATCCTGAATTTGGGATCACTAAATTGTTGACTTACAAGAACCCAAGAGCTATAACATGTTGGGACCTATAGAACTGCGTAAGGTAGATAGAACTGACTAAGGGACTGGATAAATTTATGCTTATATTGCTCAGTTATGCTCTGTACAACTTGATTAGAAATGAGGTCGACCCTGTTTATACTCTACCTCAAACACAGTAATGATCGATTGTCTTATTTCATTTTTTTGTTTTGCAGCTCAAATAAGTTCAGTGCCTATTCTTGATGACAGGGGTAACATTGTAAGTGTGTACTCTAGGAGGTAATGGATGTCTGTTTATTGGATCTTCAAACATTTTATCACTCATATTTGCCAGTTTAATGTCCTGCCATATTGTTTCTTGTAAGTTTGTATTCATATTTATGCAGTGATATCATCTCATTGGCAAAAGACAACATGTATATCCGCATCCAACTTGATGAGATAATGATGTCTCAGGTGAATCCTACTCAACTGTTGTTAATCCACCATTAAGTGTTCTATTTCCCATATATATTTTCGGAGCACTGTGAGATTGAATAATGGCAATGGATGTATTGAATATATCTGTGGGTATTAGGTGAAATACTTGCAAGAATCAGCGTAAGAAATTATGTGGAATGGCTAAAAAATACGACAATTACACCCTTTTTCCTTTCGCGATGTATTTTTCAGAGCTCGTTTAACTAAAGCTTTAGAAGTTCTATCATAAGTGAACAAGTAAATCCTTAAATAAATAATTTCTGTATTGTGAAAGTTGGAAATAAATTGGTAGGAATTACTAAAATTTACTTAACACTAGCTTTTCTCACTCAAAAGCTTGTAAACATGCTCCTAGTATTCTGCTGCAAAAGAAGTTGCCTGGATAACAACAAAGAATTTGTGCGTTCATTGCATTTCATAGGCTTTAAACTTTTTCCTCTTCTATTGGTAAAATGCCGAATAATTTGACTATTTCATGTACAATACCAATATTTCTTTTGGCGTCTTTCTTCTAGCGACTTCTAGATACATTTAATGGACAGGTTGGACAGAAAATAGTCAGGTAGCGAAAATTCTATCAATTTTGTTAAACATCATACTGTTGAGGTAAAACTTCTATTACATCAATTGCATGCACGAGAATTATGTTCTCTCTCTCTTGAATGTGCACTAACAGAAGAATATTGCAACCCAACACCATCACCATCAAGAGAATTTTGATGTACGTTTGCAGCCAGCAATGGTTTCGTTTTGTAGCTGCTAAGAGAGGAATTATATGCAGGCACTGGAAGCTACTGGCAAAGCATTAAGCCGTCATCGATACCAAACATGCACTCGGTTCGATTCCTTGTATAGGGTAATGGAACTTCTGTCAGAACCAGGTAAATATTTTTTTAAAGTTTTTCTTCTACATTTTGAAAATGAAATGCACATTAGACTTTCTCTAACGTCTCTTTCAGATGTGCGGCGCGTAATTGTTATTGAGGCCTGCAGTCGACAAATTGAAGGCATAATAACACTGAGAGATGTATTTGCTTTTATTTTGAGATGAAACCTTTTTATCCCCTTAAGCCGGAATTGAGATGAGTTTCTTCATAACAATTATTCGGAGTGAACTAATTTGGAAATACTTTTTTGGATAAATTTGTGTAAATACTGTCAGACCATGACATAGACTGATTAATTTCGTGGTGGTTTTGATTTTCTATATTTGTATTTCAGTTTTGGTAAGTCTTTCTTTACTATAAGAATTACGCAGGCAAAAGTATTCGACCAGCTTTCTCTTTTTTTAGCCATTGAACCTCCTAATCAAATTCGTTGAAAAACTTGTAATAATATAATCAGCTTTCCGAAGGTCCTATCTTGTTCTGGAAGCTAGTATCATTCGCCTTATAAATCATGATTCTTCTCCTCCCAGTAATGTCTATGCCCTAAACTCACCTAGCTTATTCTTGATTCTTGCCTTCCAATAATGCCTGCTCGTTAAAGAATAAGAAATTTAGCCCATGGCTCCATTTTTTTCAAAACTCGTTTTCAATTATATATTCCACCACAAAATAATGTTACACATAAATTCAAAATTTTTTCTTACTTTTTATTCATACATTCCTCAAAAAATAACTATTTCAAAATATATTTTTACTCGAAATGAAACCTAAACAGGGGCATCAAGTCAACAAATTGAAGATGTGCTAATGTCAATCTATAAAATGCTTCAAATTGGTGGTGTTCCAATTTATTCAAAACAATATATGTATCATCAGCTTGAGGATGCAAACAATCCCCTGAAAGAAACTCATGGTTTACCCCCATTCAATTGAATACAACTACACCCTGCATTTTTCTCGATCCCCGATCTGCATTCCCTCGTTTTTCTTACCTTCAACAAATTGTACCATTGCTGGGAATTTGCATACACATTAACCATGAGTGAATACACACAGCCATCTTCAGGTTTCACCTCCATCACATACTTGGCTACACTGTTAAGGGATAAAAATTCCACATCGAATAAAGATGAAAACATATACCAACTTATAAGGGATTAAGAACTTCAAATCTTAATATAGTACTAAAGCAATTTAAGTTTCAACGAACATTTCGATCCAATTAAGACTAAAAAAATGAACTCAACGATTTTATAATTAGTTTGCTCAAAGGAGTTACCATCTCACGGAGAATGTTAAGTGATAAAAATTTTACATCGAATAAAGATAAAAATATAAATCAATTTATAAGGGATTGTGTTACTTCTCTTAATAAGGTTTTAAAATGGAACCAAGTCTTAATATGCACTTCTGCAACCTCAACGTTCCCATACAATTTACATCTTCAAAGCAAACTTCCCAAAACGAAACACATCGCTTACCATTGGCATTGCCTTTATCATCTCCATGGCTCCTTTGATCAAACCTGCATGTCCGAGCAAATCTGCCATGCGCCCGTAATGCTTCAGCTCTCGTTGGACACCGAAAACACTCCACGTCTCTAAATTTCCTCTTTCCCCTGTCAATAAGCCCCGAGTAGCTGCAACCAACACACACTGCTAAATGGTCACTCCATCAGGTTTTACACCAACTTCCGCCATTCTTGAGTACTCTAAGTAATAAATTTTCTCGGACATGCATGGCCAATCCAGCAAGCATTGCATTCCGTAAAGGCACATTCTTTTTGTCGCACGACTTGAAAACCTCCATAGCAACCTCAATGGCCAATGCAGCCACATTTTGCATACATAACCAACAAGCTAGTTCCCAAGTGGTAAGTATGAATCTGTTCTTACCCTTTCTTACCTATAATACATGTCCCATCTTTCCCTTTTCAATCTCCCCTAGCTGTGCACAAGCCAGGAGCATTGAAACCAAAGCAACACTATCAAACTTCGCCTAGAATACAACCATATGATCAAATAGCTCCACAACTTCCTTGCACCGGTTCACTTACGCGTACCCCGCCAAAAGGGCACTCCATGAAACAGCATCTCTTTCAGGCCTTTCATCAAACAGATTCCGGGCTTTATCAACCTCACCAGCCTTAACAAACTTATCAATCATCACATTATAGTTAACCTCATCTCTATACAAATTTCATCAAACACTTTGTATGCAAGCTCAACTTCCCCATTTTTACATTATATACATGCAAGTGAATTGCACACAAAAACACTATCCAAAACCCAAATTTAACTGATTCAGAATGAAGGGTCTTGTTAAGTGAGCCCATTCTGTAACAACCACAAGCTTTTACAACAAAAGAGCAAGTATGAAAATGATTTGAGTGAAAAAGATTGAAAATATTTGAGATGTATTGCATGAATGGAGGATTTGAGTGAAAGGAGGCCTCTTGAAATGGATTGTATGATTTTTTGATACAGGTGATCTTAAATGATTTACCCTATTTTCGAATTAGAAGAAGTGGAAAAACAGAAAAATCGTGAACGGCAGGATTCGAACCTGCGCGGGCAGAGCCCACATGATTTCTAGTCATGCCCGATAACCACTCCGGCACGTCCACTTGTTTGCTATGGAGACTGACAATATATGATTAAAACATTAATTATGTTTTGAGGGTTCATTTATATATAACATTGAAATATAATATTCGTTAAAATTTTGCTTTTATTATTAATCGACCGCATGAAGAAACAAGTACCCTTTTGTTGACCGAAGGATTCAACCAAGTGTCTATTTGACACTCATTAATTTACTTTATGATTTGTTACAGAATTATTTTTAATTACAAATTCATACAATAAAATATTTTACACGTATACCTAAAACACTTTTTTCATTCTTTAATTGCACATTATCCTAAAAATACAATTTAAAACTCATTTTTTTCTCCGTTAATGTTGAGGTCAACAAATATATAAGTTCAATTAAAGGGATTTATCATTTTCACAATTATCAACGAACAATTATAAGTAGAACTTAAATCTTAACATTCTTAACGCGAGAATGTGTCATTGTTTGATTGATTAATGGTTGATAGGTGAAATTTTTACACCATTTCGAACATTCAAAAGTAGATATTTGGGGCCAATTTAATAGAATTATTACTTAATTTGATTAAATATAGATTGTTGAAGGATAAACTCGAGTTTAAACGATTACTGATAAAAAAAAAAAAAAAGTGAAAACTGGCCAAAGAAGTGCAAAAAAGTGAAGAATTGTAAAAGTTTAAGGATTAAATTACAAATATTTAAAATTTAATTCAAATCAAGAATTTGAATAGTACATAGATCAAATCGAATGAAATTAGAATAGGAAGGACTAAAATTGCATAAAGAAATGACTCGTTCTAACCGAAGGAAGAAATCAAGTGACCAAAATGAAGTTTTTCAAAATTTTGAGGCATGAAATCTATAGAGATTGTAGAGGTGTCAATCCGGGTGGTCCGGGCCGGGTCGGCCCGCCAACATGTGGGCCGGTAACGGCCCGCGTGAAAAAAAGCCCGCCCACTGCGGGTTCCGGGCCGGTTACGGGTCGGCCAACAATTTTGGACTACACCCCAGGCCCGCCCGCTGACCCCTCCGGGTCGAGCCCATGCGGGTCACGGGTCGCACGGGTCGCGGTTCGTNTATCCTGTTACCTGCACTAAAAGCATAGTCGGATGCCACTGTTGAGACTGGAACTGTTAGTATATCTCGTGTCATTTTAGATAATATAGGGTATGACCGCTCATTTAATTTTTACCATCGTAAAATATCTAACTTATCCACTTCATCTTCAGGTATTAAACTATAATGATCAAATTGATAATATCTTTCTAATTCAGCAGGTGTGGTATGTGGATTTGCAGTTGAAATTGAAGTAGTAGATGAAGAACCAAGAACATTACGTTTCTTAGCTATTATGGAGAAAAAAGAAAATTTGCCTTTAGAAGTTGTACTAGAGATTGGAGAAGAAGACATATTTTCATTGTTACCATATTTAATAAAATAGTTGTTATACATTTCATTAATAAAAATTTTCAATTGTCGATTTGTAATATTTATGTTAAAAAGCAATGTTTCAGAAAGTGATTCTAAAGCACAATGAACTCCAAACAACTTAATGCGAGGATCCATTACAGCTGCCACTGGAAAAATTAGTGCCATATTTTCATAATATTTTTCAAATTTTTCCTCCATTGAGTAAATAATTTCAAAGAAAAATGGATCGTCTCTAAATGATGAAAACTGTCCAGCAATTTCTACTAATTGTAAAAGTACAAGATTACTAGTTGGATAATAAATTCCAGAGCTAACTTTTGTTGCCTTATAGAAAGGTTTCAAATATTTCATAACTTTAAATACTTTTTCCCAGTCCGAATCAGTTATATAAAATTGATTTTGCTTTGAATTAACAAATGCATTAATAGCATTAGGATAGCCAATACACGATTTTAACATTAAAAAAGTTGAATTCCATCTGTTAGGAACATAATCAACAAATTTTCTTCTTCTCAATCCAATATTTTTACAAATTTTTGCAAATTCTTGTTGCCTAAAATCTGAACAAGAAATATAATTAATAAATTCTCTAATTATATTTATTTGTGGTGTTATTAATTTCAAACCATCTTGCACAACTAAATTATATGTATGACAAACACAATTAATTTTTTTTTACGGGCCGCGGGTTAACAGTGGCCCATGGGGGTGCAACCCGCGAAGCCCGCGGGTTACACCTCCTTGGTTCGTGAACCGCCCGCACGGGTCACAGGTCTTCACGGGTCATGGCCGACTCGTCCGTCTTGACACCTCTAAGAGATTGTGATCGCAGAGCCTGTTGCAGCAACAACAACAATAAGCAAAAAAAAACTACATTGTGCAATTGCATGGTACTATTTTCGATAGAATATCTGGTTTCATTATGTTGACCAACCTCTTCTTTGAAAGCAATTAGGTTAAGATTTTTTTCCCTAATGTTGGGCTCTATAAATACTAGCTTTCATCCAACAATTATGGAGAGCTCTCATGATATACAACACATAATTTTTGCAAAGAGGAGAACTAGATAACAAGCTATAGAGAGAGAGGACAAGACTAGAGGCCACAAACCAAGACTT